ATAAATAAATAAATATCAATAAAATATATAAAGAACTCATACAACTGAACAACAAAAAAACAATTCTATTGCAAATGGGAAGAAGACAGATATTTTTCCAAAGAGGAAACGCAGATGGCCAATAGACATAGGAAAAGATATTCAAGTTCACTAATCATTAAAGAAATGCAAATTAAAACCACAATGAAATATCACTTCAACATGTCAGATTGGCTATCATCAACAAATGTTGGCAAGGATGTGGAGAAAAGGGAACCTTCATTCACTGTAGGTGGGATTTAAATTGGTACAGCCACTATGAAAAACAGTCTGGAGATTTCTCAAAAAATTAAAAATCTATATATACCTTTTGACCCAGCATTGTACTTCTGGGTGTTTATCCCAAGAAAACCAAAACAATAATTCGTAAAGATCTATGCACCCTATGTTCATGGCAGCACAATTTACAATACCAAGATGTGGAAGCAACCTAAAAGCCCATCAACAGACGACTGCATAAAGAATATGGTTCACATATACAAAGGAATATCACTCAGCTATTAAAAAAATGAAATCCTACCATTTGCAATGAAATGGATGGACCTAGAGGTTATTATGCTGAGTGTAATAAGTCAGACAGAGAAAGATTAAATACTATATGATTTCACTTATACCCGGAATCTAAGGAAAAAAAGAATAAACTAATCAAAAAGAGACAAATATAGAAGACGATCTGGTGACAGGTAGAGGGGAGGAAGATTGGGGGCTGGGAGAAAGGGGTAAAAGGTTAAAGAAGTACAAATTAGTAGTTGATTGATGGCCATGGGGATGGGGAGCACTAGGGAATGCAGTAAGCAAAAATGTAATATTACAGATAGAGCCAGAAGAGAGGAAGAGCAATCGGGGGATCATTTTTTCATAAACTATGTAAATGTCTAAGCAATGTACTATATACTTAAAAGGAATAATAAAAATTTTTTAAAAATAATAGGTAAATACAAGAGAAAGTCAGGGTTCTTTCATCTTCAAAGTGAGTTGGGTGATATGACCATAAATACAAATTATTTAGAAGAGCGCATTATCTCATTCTTGTAGCCTATGCTCCAGTCTCTAAGCTGTTCCATCTTCTTTCTCCTGAGGGTCCTTATCCTCAGAGCAGCATTTTTAAGGCTTTCTGCCAAGATGAGGACACAAAAGATTCCATAGCTATTTTATGGAACTGGGTCTCCAAGGAGCCTTTTGTTTATTCATGGAGTTACAAGTTTGCTAAATAAAACAAATGCCAATCTTGTTAATGTGGAAACCGCCTTCTGCCCAGGAAATATCCGAATCTCCAAAACCTGAGAGAATTCTTGATGCTTCTCAACTCTCAGAACTGCTTTTGATTTTCAGGTATTGGCTGCATGAGGGAATACGCCTTAGGTTTATAATAACCAGAATCTTTTGGGATGAAAACTTCATAATTTTTGGTGAGGACAGAAAGATCTATGCATTTCCAAACTGCACATGAATATAGAGTGAAATAACAAGCACTGCAGCATAGAAAGGCAAAAACAGATTTAAGCCTTAAGAACTAATGTTGCTCAGCAACAACCCGAAGTTATGATTGACTGACAAAAAAGTAAGTACGATGAAGTTTTTATTTGCAGTGCCCTTTGTAAAATATGGTCATAAATGTCCACGTAAAAAATTTATTATATGTGTCTTTATCAAATCAGAGATGTTAGTATGCATTTTGATGTTTTGTAATAAACCAAAGTTATTTATTATAAGTCAGTTTTGAAATTCATTATACTAGAATACATGAAAAATCAGAGCAGGTTGATTTTTATACATTAGTTAGTGTAGTATAATTTGAGAGATCAAGACAGTAAACTCCTACCTTATCCTTAATCGTAACAAGGAAGAAGGTACACATACGCATTTACACACACACACACACACACACACACAAACATGATCATCACTCCCATGCAAAACAAGGTTCATATAGTCATGATTTATCATCACAGTTGACACCCCTCCCTTCATTACAAATACTGATTCATCAGAACTTCAGAATAAACAGAAATGAATCAGTCACATTCGAGCGTCAATTACTTTCTCTATTCCTGCTTTGTAACATCTAGGATAAACTGAGTTTCATGGATAAACTGTATGATTGAAAAAGACACCATGTTATTTTCAGAACACTGAAACCTGACTAGCATGTGCAAGGCTGAATTCAGTATCGCAGTGATACTGTGCCTGCGTGCCCAAGACGTTAGGGGAAGGGGAAGTAAACTCAACTAAGTGTTCTTTACAGCATCCCCAATTCATCGACTGTGTTTGCACCCTGAGTAGCCCTTAATCTGGGGGAAGCTTTCAGCCTTCAAGCAAAGAAAAAAACCAAAACAATGTCGGCCTTCTCTACCATAGTGTCTGCGAACCTCGAGGCTTAACTGAGGACACTACACATCTTTTTGCGAGAGTTGATCCTGCCCCCAGATCAGTAAGAAGAGGACATTTTCAATAGGGACGATAAAAAGTAAAATCACGTAAAATAATAACTCGGGCCTGCAGAGGGAATTCCTAGTTGTTCACTGACTCAGGGAAATTTCAAGCCCTGGAGACACCGACTACAGGTATCTGAATTCCTTTGTAATTCACTGATGAGAGCTAAAAAATAACCTCGCAAAATTTATCTCAGTATTACACAGCATTTGACCACTAGCTTCCATAACTCATGGGTAGGTAGACTGAGCCAAAAGGATTGGGAACAAAGTAAAACTATATGATTGGAAGATAAGGCAAAAACGAAAATTTAGTTACTTCTCATAACCGCAAGGAAAACGTTCCACACAGAGAAGATGATCACTTCAAGAGAGTCAAGTCAGTTTGCTTAGCACTTATAGCCAGTGTGGAGGGCTCGTTTGGGCTTCACTACACTCTATTCAAGTGTCTCTGAATTCTTCACGCAGACTGGGCAGAAAGCAGGAATCCATGATGAGAAACCACACAATAACAACATTCATCCTGCTGGGACTGACCGATGACCCACAACTGAAAGTTCTGATTTTCATCTTTCTTTTTTTCACCTACATGTTGAGTGTAGCCGGGAACCTGACCATTATCTCCCTCACCTTCATAGATTGCCATCTTAGAACAGCCATGTACTTTTTTCTCCAAAATTTCTCTTTCTTAGAAATCTCATTCACGACTGCTTGTATTCCCCGATTTTTGTACGACATATCAACCGGCGACAAAATCATTACCTATGATGCTTGTGCTGTCCAAATATTTTTTACCTATCTTTTTGGGATAACAGAATTTTTTCTCCTAGCCGCTATGTCCTTCGACCGCTACGTGGCCATCTGCAAACCCTTGCATTATGTGACGATCATGAATCACAGAGTCTGCAATAGGCTTATCATCAGCTGTTGGATGGCTGGTTTGTTCATCATAATCCCCCCACTTAGCCTGGGGCTCAGTCTGGAATTCTGTGACTCTAATGTTATCGATCACTTTTTCTGTGATGCCACCCCTCTGCTAAAGATAGCATGCTCAGACACAGGGTTCATAGAGCGAATGATTTTAGTGTGCGCTGTGTTGACTTTTATCATGACCCTTGTCTGTGTTGTTCTGTCCTACATGTATATCATCGTGACGATTCTAAGGTTCTCTTCTGCTCAGCAAAGGACGAAGGCCTTTTCCACCTGTTCTTCCCACATGGTTGTGGTTTCCATGACCTATGGCAGCTGCATCTTCATCTATATCAAACCTTCAGCAAAGGAAGAGGTCGCTCTTAACAAAGGGGTTTCTCTGCTCATTTCTTCTATTTCACCAATGTTGAACCCATTTATTTATACCCTGAGAAACAAGCAAGTGAAGAAAGCCTTGAATGACTCATTCAAAAGGATTGCATTCTCTTTAAAAAGTAAGAGAAAAGAGGAGTTGATTACTCACAATGGAGGATGAATATTCCCTCAACTTTTCTGGTAAAATTCTAGTCATGTTTGTGTCGTAATCATCTCTCTTCTAGTTTATGAACATTTTGCAACTTCTTTTACTTGACTGATGGTGTACCGTAACAAATTAATTCCTCTATTCCAAATCTATTTAACAATTCCGTTCACATGGGTACAGTTGTATCATAAAATTGGAGTTACAGGTTATAAATAAGGTGTGATGCAGTAATAAAAAGCACAAGTTTTTGTAAGAATATATTATATAGGAAAATATGTCAGACTAAACCAATGAAAGAGCACTATCACTACAAACATTTGAAACATTCTCAGTACCATTTAATAACTATTATTCTCAATGTTTAGCTTATCTTATAGCAAATAAGGGAAATCCCTAGGTGGCAGCGATAAAGAGGGAACTGAAAACAGGCAGCCTAAGTCTACAAACTGACATAAGTATGCATAGACTACAGAAGAGTGAATAAAGACATTTCACGATGTACCCAAGCAGAATGAATTAAGTACCACAAGAAGATGGAACATGAAATCTCCATAGCCACATGATGAAAAAATTTAGAAATAACACAACAGCATGCAATCACATTACCACACTGATGTACATTCGATGAAAGGTAGAATTAAAAACCATCTGCCTGCCCAAATTTAGATGATAAATTTGAATATTTTTGGTTATTCGTTTTTTTTTTCAAAAAAAAAAAAGAACAGAAAATTTTCCCTAATGTACCTTAAAACCCTGATTTTACATTCACACAGTAGAGTTTTTAAAGTCTACAAATCAGATATAAAATTGGAAATTAAAAAATACGAATTTGATCTCAAAGGCAAGAAAAGTAAACGGAAAAATAAATGAATGCGACTACATCAAACTAAAAGGCTTCTGCACAACAAAAGATACCATCAACAAACCAAAGAGTCAACCAACTGAATGGAAAAATATGTGCAAACAATGCCTCTCATAAGGGGTTAATGCCCAAAATATATAAAGAGCCCATACAACTCAACAACAAAAACACAAACAATCCAACTATAAAATGGGCAGAGGACCTGAACGGAAACTTCAAAGAAGACATACAAACAGCCTGCAGATATATGAACAGATACTCAACATCGCCAACTATTAGGGAAATGCAAATCAAAACCACAATGAGATATCACCTCACAAGTGCTGGAGAGGTTCTGGGGTGAAAGGAATCCTTATACACTGTTGGTAGAAATGTAAATTGGTACAGCCACTAATACAAACAAGATGGAAGTTTCTCAAATTTAAGAGTGGAATTACCACACAACCCAGCAATCTCTCTTCTGGGTATCTACCCCCAAAATTTGAAAACATTTATCTGTAATGATATATGCACCCTGATGTTCACTGCAGTATTATTCGTGGTGGCCAAGAGATGGAAACAACCGAAATACCCTTCGATAGTTAATTGGATGAAGATGTGGTACAAATAGACAAATATACTGCCTTTTGTGACAACATGAATGACTCTCGAGATAATCACGCTAAGCAAAATAAGTCAGACAGGAAAAATTGAGAATCGTGATTTTACTCATGTGGAATATAAAACTGAAATCGACAAACAAACAAGGCAAACGAAAACTCACAGAAACAGACAGCAGTTTAGTGGGTATCAGAGGAGAAGGGGGAGGGTAGGAGGTAGATAAGGGTAAAGAAGGTGAAATATAAGGTGATGGAAGGAAATTTAACTTTGGGTGGTGAACACACAATGCAATATACATACGACATATTAATGAGTAGTACACATGAAATCTATATAATTTTATTAACCAATATCACCCCAGTTAATATAATTAAAAAATAAAAAATAAATATAATTATCAAAAACATTAGAAATAAATTCTTAAAAATTAAGTACATGATTCCACTTAATGATCAATTAAAAATTTGAGGTTGAGATTACAACACATCTGGCAAGCAATAACTTGGTAAAAATCTGTGTATATAGCACATTTATTTATAAGATTTGCACATATTAATTACATTTATTTAAATAAAGCTGTACTTGAGAGAAACTTATGTACTTAAACATCTTCACTATTAAAATATTTTAAGTAAAGCAACAAACGAATGGGCGGAACAGAGACTCATGGATATAGACAATAGACTAGCGGTTACCAGAGGACGGGGCCATGGAGAGGTAAATAGGGTAAAAGAGATCAAATATGTGGTGACCGAAAAAAATCAAATTATGGACAGTGACAACACAATGCAATACACACACACACACACACACACACACACACACACACATATACCTTACTGTTGAATTGTTACCTGAAACTTACTGGATTTCGTTAACCAATGTCATCATAAAAAATGTTATTTATTTATTTTTTTATGGTGACATTGGTTAGTAAAATCCAAGAAATTTCAGTTGCACACTTTAACAGTAAGGCATATATATATACATACTGTGTGTGCTGAGCGCACAGAAAAAAATAAATAAAATATTTTAAGTAGATTAAAAATAAAGGAACCAATACTCATTTTAAACAGTTAGAATTACACAATAAAACAAAGTAAGTAGAATGAACAAGGAAAGTTTAGGATAAAAAGCAAAAGCAATCACAGCAAAATATAAGGTAGGTGATTGAGAAGCTGATTCTCTGTAAAACTCAGGGGAAAAAATTACATGCCCATATATTGGGGGAAAAGAGGGAAAGGAACATATTCAAGATCAAAACTCAGAAACAAGATATAAATATCAATACACAAGAGAATGCAACACACAGATGATGTATTATATAAGTGCACACCTGAAACCTATATAATTTTATTAACTAATGTCATGTCAATAAATGTAATTTAAAAAATCAACTATATATAAATATATGCTGCATTTCATTTTACAACAAGTGATGAAAAATTGGAAGCAAAATATTCTTGGCAAAATATGAATTAAGAAATCATAAACTTGAACGTATGAGAAAGGGCACTTATTACTGTCTATCAAATGGAAAGAGGATTAAATTGTTTGTAAAAAATTATTATTAATTTAAAAATATTCTAAATAATTTTATTCTAAATTAAACCATGCCAATTAAACACCATAGTTTTATTTAAGTACACAAATAGAAATAGTTCATGTAAAATATAAGTAGGAAAATAGATCATGAACAAAGAGTTTAATCTAGTCATAAAAGAAAAGCTGTATCTCAATAAAATCTAGCCACATACTTATCATATCAATCAATTTTGAAAAGTAGATATCATAAGAATAGACCAATAGATGGTTAGAAGTCTTTAATAAAATGTAATAGTCATAAAAAATCCCAAGTAAATGAGAATGTGCTTTAAAAAATAAACCTGTTATAAACAAATAAAATATCAATAGATTAAAGTCAAAATCAAAAACCAAATAGGAATTTCTAGTCTCCTCCGTGTTAGTTAACATTGTTTTGGATGATCTTTAAAAGTCATAAAATAAGAAAAGAAAATAGTCATTATAATACTAGAGAGATGATATAAAAATGTTTTAGCAATTTGAATATGCATCTTTTAAGCATTTCTAATTCTGAAAATGAAATGTGTTTTATAATGTATGACATCTTAGCATTTATATCATAATTTTATTGGCAACATTTTTTTCAAAGAAGACATCTTTGGGTTAATGTTGTTTTAATTTCATATAAAGAGGCATACATTCAGCTCTCCATATGTTCAGGTTCTGCATCCACAGATTCGCCCAACAGCGGATAGAAAATATTAGGGGAGAAAAAGTTACATTGTTGGTGATGTGTACTATGTGGTTAGGCCTACACTGGTGCCCCTATACTGAACCATACAGACTCTTTTATTCTTGTCATTATTCCCAAACAACACAGTATAAAACTAAATACATAGCGTTTACATTGCATTATGTATCAGAAGTAATCTAGAGATAATTTAAAGTATATGGGAGGATATTTGTAGGTAATATGTAAATACTACATCATCATACATAAGAAACTTTGAACATCCGAGGATTTGGGTATCCAAGAGGAGTCCTGGATTCAATCCCCCGTGGATACCGAGGGACGACTGTATTCTCTTCTGAGAACTTTATTGAAAAAGATAAATGCAAGAAACTAATAGAAAACTAATAGAATTCAGAAGAGAATTTAAGCTGGATGAAGAATACATTTTTTAGAATCACTGGCCTATTTTTATGTAGCAATAAACACTGAAAAGCAAAGTAGGAAAATAATTTTAATCATAATAGGAATAAAGGGATGTCATTAAAAAGTAAAACATGGCTTTCTAAATTAAGGAGATACATTAGATTTAAAGACATAAAATAAAATCTGAAAAATACATAAAAGAGTTATTTTATTCCTGGTTGCAAAGATTTATATCAAAAATATAATAATTCACCCAAAATAACATATAGAATCCAATGCAATCTTCACTGGAATTCCAACTATTATGTTATTAATAACACAAAATTATTTCCAGATCTACCTGGAAGAATTAAAAACCACAAATAATCGATGAATGTACAAATATTATCTCTCAAAATAAATTTAAAATATGTATTGGCCTAGGATTAATTAAAGGCACAGAACAAGAAATACAAAAACAGAATGTGTAAATAAGCTAATATATTCAATTATAAAGATGGAATTTAAGTTCAGTGAATAAAATACGTATTGTTTATGAACGTTGTTCCAACAACTTATTCTTCTGTAAGTGAATATGTTAAACCTATCTTTCACAACATACACATTAACAAATCTCAAATGACCAAAATATTATCTCTGTCTATTATGTATCTGTCAAGATAGATAATAGACAGATAGGTAATAGATAGATGGTAGATGATAGATAGAGAGATAGATGATACTTGTTGTTCTCTTGTCCCCATGGACCCTGGAGCCAAAGCAGCTTTTGTGATTTTGCTGTGCCAAATAAAATATTCCAAAGATTCATTAGTGACGTTTGAGTGTAAATCACCAAGGACCTTTTGTTTATTCGTTCATTTGCAAGTAAAGAAACTAATAACAACAACAACAAAAAAATCAAGGTTGGTATTGTTAAAATCTTTGTCTCTGTCCAGAGATACTGAAATACCAACTCTCAAAATGGAAGAGAATTTCTGGCATTCCACTGCCAGTAGGATGTCCCCTCCCTCTTTAAATGTTAAAATATACAAAAAAATATTTCTTAAACCTTTCATGATAATATCAAACCAATCTGTTGGAGGCAGCAATCTCAGAGAGCTTTCTACATGTTCAGAGAACCTGTGAGTGCAAACATGAATGCACAAGCAAAATGACGAGGTCACATGAAAATCCTCATCAAACCTATTATTTTCAAATAAATGTCTTTAAGAATTATTATTTTTAAATAACTTAAGGAAGTTATGATTGACCAACAGAAAAGTAAGTGTACCTAATTTTGCAACATTAGTAGTATTTTCCTTTGTGAAACTTGGACCATGCTTTTCTCTGAGAAAAAAAGATTGCATCTGCCTGTATTAAAATCAGATATATTATTTATAACATATTTTATAAAACCTTCAAAAATGTGTCTTAACGATAAATAGGTGGATGTATAAATGATAATTTTAATATAAGAAATATCCAGAAATGACATAAACTCAAATTGTAAAATAAAACACTGTGTGTGTGTGTGTGTGTGTGTGTGTGTGTGTGTGTGTGTGTGTGAATTCCTCCTTCCATCACTCCAAAAGACTGGCAGTAACATCACTCAGAAATCTCTACCTCCTCAAATATCTATTGAGAAATAAACAGAAGTCAGTTGATTACATGTCACTATCAATTAGGTTATTGAATCCTGGCTTATTTCTTACATCTTATTGAACCTTGCCATATCTTATAAGAAAAATTTTTTTTGAGCATCGAGTAATGCCTATAGGATGTTGAGCTGAGTAAGGTTACATTGTGATTGCATATGTATCTAAGAGACAAGGAGAAAGGGTGACAGAAAAGTAGATAGACTGCAGCAATCATTCTCCACTACTTCTGAATTTCATCTAATACATATGCTGACTATGTCCCAGAATTCCCTGAGAGGGTTCTAGTTTTCAGGCAAACCATGAGCCTAGCTCCACACTTCTCCAGATTGGTGATGGCCACCCTGTGAATTTAACAGTATGGATGGGACTAATCATAAGGTGCGACTTGTCTCCTACCCCAGTGAATAAAATACAGTTAAAACAATGAAGATAAACTGCTTACAAACAAATTGTGGTATCAAATGGATTTTTTTCTGTTAATGCAGGATTACAAATTTTGAAACATGAAAATTAGAAAAATTTAAGCCTCACTATAGTAATTAACTCTTGATGCCTGAAAAAATTACTGTAAAGCAGCTTCTGACATAAACTGAGCATGAAAAACTCAAGATCTCTGGATATAACATTGCATTAATGGATGATAGTTAGAATGGAAATAATACCAATACAATTGCTTTGTCGAAAAATCATGGAAAGAAGAGAAGGCAGTTGTAACTTTGTCAAAGTTGAAAAGGTCACCTCGCAATGTGACTTAATTAATAAATACAGGTATTACTTAAAAGAAAAAGCAAAAAAACCTAGAACATTTTTTAGTAAAGAGTCAGAGATATAGAAAAATTTAAAAGCAGTATCAGA